GTCTCAATATGACATGACTGTCATTCTATGCTGTTGTGTCTTCACCAAGGAAACAAAATGGTTCCTTTCCATAGTGAGCCAGAAATTAAAGAAAAATCCTGATTTTACTTGATTCTACTAATTGAGGACAAGTAGGGTTTGTTGTTTAACTCTACCTCCGACGCACAATTTCCATACTTCTGGGCCAGTTAAATTCTGGCCTCTGCATCACAATAAAATGTGTTGCTGGTAAAATGTGACAGTAAACCATGAATAGGAAATAAGATTGGAAAATACTGCCTGGACTGAGATATTAAGGGAAACCAAGAGATAACTAGAGACAACAGGAACCTGGAAAAAGATACTCTTCCAACCTGTAAATAAAACAGAGAAGAAGGCTCATTAATATTTAAGGTCCTAGCTAGTGAATTAAAACTAATTTAGGTGCCTGACCTAATATTTAATTTTCTACATGTTTTTCCAATTCCACAAGTAAGGCATTTTCACTTTTAATTCTAAGGGTGATATAGACACAGCTTGAGATATCCACCTGTAACATGACATGGATATGCTTTTGACATTGAGAAGTCTGCCTGTGGACCTTAGATCAAGCCAAAATCATCAGCTCCCAGCTTTTTCAGCCAGCGAACTTTTTGTGACCTGGAAAACATTCCTACCAAGTTCCTACAGTCACCTCCCTGACCTCATTTCTACTAACCTCTTTGTTCCAGCACCTTGGACAACAGGGAATCCTCTTGCCCTGGGGTCTTTGCACTGACTATATTCTCTTTATCTGGAAAGCTCTTTCCACTAGATACCCTCCTGACTAGCTCCCTCATTTCTGTCCCATCTTCACTCAAATATCACCTTTTTCAAGGAAGCCTACTTTGACCATCTCATTTAAAATGCTGCCCCTCCCCAGCATATTCCCTTGAGTTTTTTTTTTTTTTCTTCTTAGAACGTATACCTTCTAACATAAATACTGTTTTTCTTATTGTCTGTTTTCCTTCCATTGAAATGTAAGTTCCCTGAGGTCAGGATTTTTCTGTTTTGTTCTAAGGTATTTCCTCAGCAATTTATTCTAGAATTCAAGAATAGTGCAATAGCACATAGTAGACAATAAATATTTCTTAAATGAATGGGTAAATCACTTCCTAAAAGACCCCAAAAGGAAAAGGCCTTGTTAACATTGATCCTTTTTTTAAAAAAAATCCTAATGTTGAAAGGTTAATGTAAAAAAAAAAAATCGTCATTGCATGTTCTTTTCTTGCAATTACGGGGGAATTACTCTTATTGTCACTAAGACTGATAGAGAAAAGTGTATGTCATGTGTTATACCTTTCTCTTCACCTTACACACTGCATATATTTTCAGTGGTGGTAATAGGAGTGGGAGATAATAAGGATAAAATATGTTAAAAGCAAACCTATTTTAAGCACGCATCATAGTTATTTGCTAGCAAGGGAAGCAACAAAGTAAATAAGGAATGTAGTTTCAGAGAGTTATGGAGATTTAGGAGTTACATAGTTGGGAAGAATGCTCACAGAAACAGCTAGCTTTTTTAAAAAACAAAGTAAGCACCTAATTTGGTACAGTTTGCAGTTTTAGTCTATGTGGTCTTAAAAACATCTTATCAGTTATTATAGCAGAAACCTGAGACAGGATGATCTGAGATGCTGGATTCTTTGGCTGTCAATCAGAAATTTAAAACAAAACAGAACAATCCATCTTAAAGAAATACATGATAAGGATACATCTGTGTCTATCTATCATTGCAAAAGGTTTGATTCTCCAACAGAGTGTCCAGTCCAATTAACAGAGGAAAGGATAACAAAAGAGGTCAGGGGCAGTGGACAAAGCATGGGCCTATGGACTAAAGGGTCCCAGGTTCGATTCTGGTCAAGGGCACATACCTCAGTTGCAGGCTCAATCCAGAACCCTGGTCAGGGTCTTTCAGGAGGCAACCAATGGATGTGTCGCTCTCAATTGATGTTTCTCCCTCTCCCTCTCCCTCTCCCTCTCCCTCTCCCTCCTCCTCTCCCTCTCCCTTTCCCTCTCCCTCTCATCCTTTCCCTCCCTCCTTTCCTCCCTCCCTTTAACTCAGGAAAAATATCCTTGAGTGAGGATTAACAAAAAGAGGTCAGGGGCCAAAGATCAAGTGTCTGATGCTTTCCAATAGGTCACTGCCAGTGATTTCTAAACCTCCAAAGAACAATTTACAATGTCCAGTTTGCTTATTTTTTTAGTTTTAAAACAAAAGAATTCTAAAGAGTGTCACAAATTTGCTATAACTTATTTTGAGAAACTGAAGAGTGTAGAACCAACCTCCCAAGCAAATTGCATCTATCAAACAATTGTCACATTTAGTATTTGATTTATTAAGCCATATTATTAATCCAGTTTCCCATAATGCAGACTCATTTACCACCTCTATTGAACACTGAGCATTACATTGTAGGATGCATTCAATAACAAGGTCCAGAGTCAAAGCCAGTGCATCAGTATTGAAGTAATGCATTGCCAACAGAGGAGACACTGTCTAAGAACAGATGACAGCAGGATATCCTGATTCTTTGTTATTGCTTTAGTAGGGCAACAGTAAGCAGAAATCTGAGGGCATTTATGTGTGATCTCATATCTAGCTTCAAATAGCCCAGCATGCACTTTTTTCTTGTATTTTTTTGAGAAAATACTGAGGCAAGTTAAGCCTAAAAGACACAGACAAATGATACAAACCTTTGCTAAAGCAGACGCAGCCATAATAATGATCACAAGTGTCTTCAATAAAAGCTCCACAATGATACCAAGATCTAAAGCAAAAGGACCATGTTGTTTATACATATACGTATACATATACATATACATATACATATACATATACATATACATATACCTATACAGAGGTCTGTAGCATGCTTCAAAAGTGTTACTAAATCACTGGCAACCTCAGTCAATAGTTTATAAAAGATGATTACATCACAAAAATTAGACCCTGATCACTTTTCAAATGTTTAATTCTCAATTATTAATATTATTTTTAATTATGCTCCAGGTGCTGTGGGAGGTATTTTATATATATTTAACAATTGAAAAAGACCATCACAGTAGATGCTACTCTCAAAGGCCATAAGAGGTTTAGTAACTTGCCCCAGGTTACCTATCAAGGATACATACTCTCAATATGATTTATCACTCTTGATATTGCCTCTTAGACCACCTGGCTGAGGTAGTATTTGCCAGGTTTCTCCACTGCAAATTTATTCTTTTTTCTTCCTTTCCATACTATACTCCTTGGAAGTATATAAATCCATGCTTAATGATCAGGGATTTATGCTTCTCCTCCTTGAGGGTAATCTACATTAATTATTTGGAATTATTTGCATAGGAAATTTTTCTCTTTTCCATTTTATGGATTCAATAATTTGTTTATTTGAGTGTGGATTTATAGATATTTATTTTATAGTAGAGACCCGGTGCATGAAATTCATGCACTCAGAGGGGTACTTCAGCCTGGACTGTGCCCTCTCACACAGTCTGGGAACCTTCAGAGGATGTCCAATTGCTGCAGAGGTGGAAGAGGCCCCTGCTACCACTTTTGCACTCATTAGCTGTGAGCCTGGCTCAGGGCTTCTGGCTGAGCAGTGCACCCCTATGGGAGCACACTGACCACCAGGGGCAACTCCTGCATTGAGCTTTTGCCCTCTGGTGGTCAGTTCGTGTCATAGTGACTGCACCATTTGGTGGATTTGCATATTAGCCTTTTATTATATAGGATTTTAAGTTAAATCCAGTACTATTTTATTTTGTTACTTTAATTGTCCCAGCTGTGGCCATTGGGAGCTCTTTCAGAGTTCTGCATTTTTAAAATATCCATCAATGTGAGATTTTTTTTTGTTTTTGAGCATTTCCTTACTTTCTGGTACTACATCATACCTCAATCCTAGAATCAGCCATTTCTCTAGGGAACTTTGGTTGTTTTATTGGAGAACTAGTGGCCCGGTGCACAGATTCATGCACATTGAAAGGAAATTAATTAGAAGAAATATTTTAATATCACTATTTGCCACTTCTCTATAACAGAAGTCTCAGAGATGAAAGAAAATTAGTAAAATGAATATGAAAATAATATATAAATTTATTAATAAATAAACAATAACAACATGATATAACAACAATAAAGACATTATATAAAAACAACAAAAACATGGTATAAAAACAACATTGATAAAAACAATGACTAATAGATTGATTAAACTTATTCTAATATCTCCCTGTATACCACATTAAGAGTGAAAACAGTTTCAGAGTGCTTGACTAATTTCCCTTGTGTTGAAGTATTTACAACTTTAATTTTAACATCACACACCCTTCGAACTCAAGAGAAAACAACATATAACTGACCATGTCCAAAAACAGGTTCAGGTAGGAATATTCCTACTCTGTCTAGAGTTTGTTCTTGTGATTTATTAATAGTGATCACAAATGCTGGCATCATGGGAAACTGTCTTGGAATTAATTTAAATGGGAGGCCAGTGTCAGACAGAGACAAATCAATTCTTGGAATCAGAACAACCTCTCTTTCCACAGATCCTCAGCATTGATTATGTTAGATCACAATCTTTTGTGCCAATAGTTGGTCTTTAGACATAGTACTCTGTCTACAACAACACTTTCTTTCAGCTTCAGAATGTCAACAAAAACAACCAAATTCACGATCAACAATGACAAATCAAAACACGCACATGCGATTGGCACCAGTGAGAGCTTTATATGTATCGTTCATGTGCAATTCAACATTTATTTTTAAACTAAAGACCCAGTGCATGGATTTATGCACCTATGGGGCCCCTTGACCTGGCCTGGGGGGGGTCAGGCCAAAACCAGCTCTTTGACACCCTTGAGGAATCCCAGATTACGAGAGGGCAGTTCTCAGGTGACATACCCCGGAATCAGGCTCCCTGCTCTCTGGTTCTGGGTGCATCACCCAAGAACCACAGCTGTCAAGTCACTGTAGCTGGCAGGTTCTGTGTTGAGCATCTGCCCCCTGGTGGTCATTGCATGTCATAGCTACCAGTTAGACGGTTGAATGGTTGAATAGTTGGACAATTGCTTAGGCTTTTATATATATAGCCAGCCAGCATGCATCATATGTACCAGTCAGTCAGTCAGTCAGACAGGCAGACTGATGGACGGTCGGTCACCTAGCCTTTTATATATAAAGATGGTATTAGAAATCAAAATAAAGTAGGCACTAGATGTGTTCTTTACTAATTGGAATGTCCTTTCTTTTCAGACCTGCAGTTGATAAAGAAATATATGGTTGCACACTAATTTATATATACACACCTATTTGTGAATATTTCTGTCTGGAACTATCTTGATGTATATTAGGCTAAACATGAATTCTACTGATGTATCCAACTTGAACCCATTACCAGAAGAATCATTCTAGGATAGGTCATCTCCCCTTGCTAATCTATAAAATCCTACTCTAACAGTGAGAAACCTGTTTCCTACCATCTGCCATCCATTTACTTAATTGTTCAATTTCAGTATACATGTATATAGAAGTACTGGAACTGTTAACCAATACCCCCTTGAAAAACAACTCTATTAACTAGAGCAGTGGTCAGCAAACTCATTAGTCAACAGAGCCAAATATCAACAGTACAACGATTGAAATTTCTTTTGAGAGCCAAGTTTTTTAAACTTCAACTTCTTCTAATGCCACTTCTTCAAAATAGACTCTCCCAGGCTGTGGTATTTTCTGGAAGAGCTACACTCAAAGGGCCAAAGAGTCACATGTAGCTCACAAGCAACAGTTTGCCAACCACGGAACTAGAGTACAGTATCTATACACAGTTCTTTTTGTTTTTGTCTTACAAACTTAAATCATTTCCAAAAATTGCTTAGTTTAGCACCTTCTCCCCCACCCTCCTCAGTGAGGTTGTTTCATAAGTTTGTAATACTGTTAGATTCTCTTGTTGCAGTCTACTTTCTTTCTTAAGATTTCCCAACCTCCTAAATAATTTGATTTTTAAAATTGTGTCACTCTTTGTGCTGACTTTTGATAAATGAATGTTATATCATACAGACTAGTTTCATAGCCCTAAAACATAAAGGGAAATGCATAATAAAATTACTTTTACATTTTTATGTACATACCAAACAAGTGATGATTTTATAGAAAAACTTCACTTGTATATAAAAATATCAATAAGGATATATATATATATATATATATATATATATATATATCACATATATAATTCTCTATAATAAGTAATATGAAGTTTTTACCATGTGCCAGGCTCTGTGCTAAGTGCTTCATAACAATCCTATAAGATAGAAACTGTCATTATTCCCATTTTAAAAAATAGAAAACAGGTTCAGAAAGCTAAATTTTTTTGCTCAAGTTAACACAACTAGTGTTAGAGTCAATATTGAATGGAAAAAAAAAGAAATATATACATACATATATGTTTATATATATATGCTGTATAGTTGCATATTTAGAATTATATATGTATTTTATGTATCATTACATATAATGAATCTGTTAACTTTAAAAAACTAAAATTTTTCAATGATCTTGTCTCCCATTTCAAATGTGAATCATAAGAATTGTAATGAGTATTTGACCTTCTGTTTTTGCTTTCAGTCAAAGGAGGAAATGAGAAAAGGAATCAGTGCTCAAAGACAAAACTTAATACATCCCCATATTTAAGGCTTACCTCAGCTAGTTTCATCCTTACAGAGTAAGGGTGAAATCAAAGACTGTTGTTATATTCTTTTTACTTTACTAAACTTAATGACTAAGGCAAGAAAATAAGATTGTTCTAATAATCACTATTCTTTTTAAATGGTAATAAAAAAACAACAACAAAACACAAAGTTACTTTGAACCGCCTTCATCCTTACATATATGGTGATCTTTCTGTTTTCAATAAAAATTTTAAATTTAAAACTACTGTATTTGTAACATTTATACACACAAGTTGAAGAACTGACAGATATATGCCCAGTAATACTGGCTGTATTACTGAATGAAAAGAATAAAAGCTGGAGAAGATTTGCATTTTGGTTCTGTCTTTGCAATTAAATAGGATTAAACATTTGAGTGGAAATTCATCATTGGTTAAGCTGCAGTGTTTTTTTTTTGTAAAGTTTGGAACTTTAAACTTTTAATTAGGTTAACACTAATAAGCTACATACATCAAGAGGCCGGATGTTATTTGAAGCATTGGGCAATGCCTTGTGGCTCAGGATCAAATGATCTTTAAGGTTTCTTTCAATTTTAAAACTGTGTTGCTTATAATAGTAAGTTACAGATAATTTTCCTGTTTCTTTCCTTCAAGGAGTATATTCATCATCACCTTTTTTAAAAAAAACCTTGCTACCAAGCAGAGATACACACTGCTGTGAACTGTTTTTGCATACGGTAATGAGGTAATGAACTTGACTTACCACATTTCCACTTAAAATGAAACACCTCCTACCTAATCATGGTCATGTGTGTAAATACACATGTACAGAGAAATCAGCAGAAATGTCAGGAAAAGGTCTAGTGTATAAAAACCAAAGTAAATAATCAAATACAAGGCATGTAAAGTTAGACTATAGGACATACATCTAATTTAAATGGATAACATTTATCTTGTTCACTAAATCGGTAAAATGCTGAGGGCTTCACATTTTATTTTTAAAAATAGATGCCCTTTTAGGGTTTTCCTGTTGCTGGGGAAGTGTTCTTTCTGTTGCTAACAGAGAGCTAAATGTTCTTCCTTGAATGGGACGTGTTTGTTTTTATAGATAGGTGTGGTAGAAGGATGAATGAAGGGAGCCATTTTTTTGAAAACTGTGTTTCTATAAGTCAGATGTTTCCTTCTGGATAAATTGACTATTTACCAAAGAATCCTTTGATATAACCATGACATTTGATCATTTGTTTACACCTTATTTTATTCAGTAAACCTTAAATGGGCTAACTATTCAAATTTTAAAGATCAGAGGGTTATAGAATTCATGTTGAAACATCTATTACCACTCAACCTTTAGTGGTTAGGAAGTATAACGAGGATATTGATCATCTTTATGTTTTTGTCTGATATAATTTAGCCTCAAAAGGGACTGCAGTTAGATAAGATCTGGCTTTCCCTTCAAATTTTATGATCAATACAAGCCATCTTGCTCTTCATCTTTATATATTATTGTTTGCACTGTCTAGGCCAGGGGATTGATGAAGGAAATATCACAGGCAAGCAAATCTATACAAATCATTATTGTAGTACATTCTATGCTTAAAACTACAAAAAAAAAAAAAAAAAAACAAACAAACAAAAAACAAAACAAAAAAAAACCATCTGGCTATCTTAAGCTTAAAATAAAAATCACAGAATTATTTCTAATATAATTTTATTCACCTGAAAATAAGTTCTATATTCTCACCATCTTGTGTCAAAATAGTATTGATATCTTAAATATTTATTTATTTTGAAGCTGTGTCTCTGGGTAATTCACTACATTTTTATTTTATGGTTATGCCAGAAATTTTGGGTGCATTGGAACACCATGCTGTGAAAATATAATTGAATTTCTGTCTTCCAAATTTCATTTTGTATTCAGAAGCAAGCTATTATTCTATAAGCCTTTGGCTTTGGGGAAAGAGGGAATATTTCAGAATATTTCTCTGAATCATTTTTGTGGCATGATGATGCTGTGTTGACCTTTCATTTCACTTTCCTAGTCATTTCATTTTCCTCCTGGGCATTGAGGGAGATTACATATCCTGCCTATCTAGGTGGAATAGTGTAACTAGCTCAGATCCATAGAATTTAGCAATTCTCTCTCTCCACCATCCAAGGTGACCGTGGATGCTACCGGTTGAGATAATAGAGACTCAAGATGGGAGGAACCACACAGGAGAATCTGTCCACTAGACCAAAAAAAAAGACTTTTGGAATTTGCATGAGTGGCAAATTCTTTTATTTATTTATTTAATATTTATATACACTGAGTGGCCAGATTATTATAATCTCTGAACACATAATAATCTGGCCACTCAGTGTATATCCTACATAATAAAAGACTAATATGCAAATTGTCCCCTCGACCAGCAGGCAGGTGGTCAACCGCCCATGTCCTCTCTTTCTCCCTGGCCAGGCGGGCTGGACCCCACCCATACATGAATTCATGCACTGGGCCTCTAATTATACATACATACATATATATACATATACATACATACATATATATATATATATATATATATATAGAGAGAGAGAGAGAGAGAGAGAGAGAGAGAGAGAGAGAGGCAGATTATTATGCATTCAGAGATCATAATAATCTGGTCACTCAGTGTATATTCATATATATATATATATATATGAATATACATATACATATTTATTTTATATATATATTTTTTTTCCCCAGAGAAAAAGGGAGAGAGAGAGAGTTAGGAACATCAATGATGAGAGAGATTCATTGATCGGCTGCCTCCTGCATACCCCACAGTGGGGATCAAGCTTGCAACCTGGTAATGTGCTTTAACCATAACCTCCTGGCTCATATGCCAATGCTCAACCACTGAGCCACACTGGCCAGGCTTCTTTTATTATTGTGGGTTGCTGTTATGGCAATTAGCAAGTTATACCCTGAACAAAACACTCTCTAACTCTATTTACCGAGAGCAGAAAGTGTCTAACCTGAGAAATCCTCACCCTCTCTGGCCACGCCCCTCCTTAAGTGATATTACTTGAGTAAATCTCTAATATTTGCACAGCTTTTTAAAAAGAGAACCTCTTTAGGTAGAGGACCAAGATGGTGGTGTAGTTAAATGCCTGTTTTCACCACCTGCCACAATCACATCAAAATTATAACTAAAATACAGAACAATCACCATTCAGAACCGCCTGAAAGCTGCTGAATGGAAGTCCTACAACTGGAGAAGTAAAGAAGAAAGCATATTGAGATTATTAGTAGGAGGGACAGGGGCTGGGAACAGGCTGATCCAACACCTAGCTGTGGTGTTTTGTTTTTGTTTTTTTATTTGGGAGCGATATCTCCTGCTGGGGAGACCTCTCATAAGAAGCAAGGGGACTCAGCCCCACACCAGACCCCCAGCCCAGGGTTCCAGAACTGAAAAGAAAAGTCCCCACAACTTTGGCTATAAAAACCAGCAGGGCCCTAGCCAGTTTGGCTCAGTGGATAGAGCATCAGTCTGAGAACCAAAGGGTCCCAGGTGTGATTCCGGTCAAGGGCATGTACCTCAGTTACAGGCTCCTCTTGGCCCGGGCCCTGGTTTGGGCTTGTGCAGGAGGCAACCAATTAATGTGTTTCTCTCACATTAATATTTCTCCCTGTCTTTCCTGCTCTCTAAAATCATTGGAAAACTATTCTTGGTAAAGATTAAAAACAAATAGACAAACAAACAAACAAAAAAACTTATAGGGTCCCAGTACATCTGAGCTCCAGCACTGCGTGGCATTGGGGAACTAGGGACACAGGGGAAGGAACAAGACATTGGGGCAGGAACTCGAGGGCAGTTTTCTCTCAGATGGAGGTGCTCTCAGAGGTCATTGTTCCTGCGCTGGGACTTCCCCCATTGCAGAGCTGAAGCACTATGCTGTGACTGGCAGCCAAATCTGAGTTTTCATCAGTTTGGCTCTCACTCTTCCTCCCACTCTGATGATTCCTTGAGACCCACCCCTTCCAACTTGCAGCCTCACCCAAGCTGTTTGCAGCAGCTGTTCTATGTGAATGGCCTGTCCTGGCTCAGGCTTCAGACTTTCCTAAAATCTCTTAAACAGGCAGCTGCTGGTGTCAGCATGCCCCATACCTATCAATAAGAGGCCTAAGACCTGGCACTAGCACCAGCCTGCCTTGCTTCACAGCTTGGCCTTGCCTGGGCACTTCCAAGCCCAATGCAGATATCAGCCATTGGCAGATTGCTCTGTAGCTTGTGCTCTGTAACTTGTGACTGCCTTTGCATCTCCCAAGAGGTCCCAGAGCCAGTGCACCCAGTGGACAGCTTGAGACCATACCAGATAACAACTCTACACATCCACAAGGGACACACTCAAGGGGCAGACTCAGTGAGCACCAAAGCCCCACTGAAGCAAGTCCTGCTCCATAGGTATATCCTCCACAGCAGTTCTTTC